GCCCGGTCCAATACTTAGAGAATATTGGACCGGCAATAGAGCATTTTCATTGGTTGATTTTAGTTATTGGCCCTCTGACTGCCCGAGTCGTGTAATAAGTTGTAGTTCAATTTATGAAACCTCTTGATTATTGTTATGTTTTTTTCAGAGCATGAGATTAAAGCTGATATCGAGTGCACCCACCGAGAGACGATTTAACCCATGGATAGGCGGTTCTATTCTCGCATCACTGGTAAATAATGATAAAGCAAACCCTGCTATCGAGGAAACAAAATATCCTTTTCCTGCCCCAGATACTAATTTGAACAGCATAAATATTGGAAGAAACTTTGCTCAATTTCCTTTTTATTTATTTTTTTTCCAGGGCTCATTTCAGCAAATGTGGATATCAAAGCAAGAGTACGAAGACCAAGGAAAGGGTTGTGTTGAAAGAAAGTGTCCTTGACAATTTCGCCTTTCGCAGCAACTGTAGTCTATATTTAATGTATCATAGCAGATTTCACCAAATCACCGTAAAGCTCTCCTGTAACGTTTTTATACTTCAGAATACGTTATAAATACATGTTGTGCTTGAGATTATTTCTCGTACCAGGGGTAAACCGAACATCTTGACAGATGGACTAATTTTGACGTTTTCTGCGCAAAGTTAACAGAAGTGGAGAAAAACGCTCAACGCGATGGAACACTAATGCTCTCACATTTGATCAACCAGTGTAAAACCCACATCTTAAGTTTATGAAATGTCTCAAGTAAACTGACAAAATATGAGTTCTTAGTGCGCATGTCTTCCATCGAATTACAGCTGTCTTATGCAAGGATTTCATTCTCAACACGCTGAATTTTTGGAAACATCGGTACCGGCTTCCCTACAGAACGTGCGTAAATTTGTGAGTGAATACCGTAGCGCGATGTTTTAAGGCATAATGCAGTCATGCTCTTACGCGTGAAAGGGCAGAGTGAAACATATTCGACAAATCCACGATTCGCAAGCATAATATTAGCATCTCTTAGCAGCATAGCAAATAACCATCGCTATTCTGACGATTCAAATGATAAGCAGAATTATACCCGCATTTTTGATTGGTTCTTCTGATTCATCGAAGGACAGACAAATGACGTCACCATAAACAACATTTTGCTTTTAATCATGCGAAACAAACAGAGCCATTTGTTTAAACAACGCTTAGCTGTTGTTTAACCAGACAGCCCTCTAAACTAACTTCATTTTAGCCGAACCTTTTATCTAAACATTTATTTTTGTGAACAGTGTTAAGAACGCCGAAAACTAACGGTCGAAATACATTTATTAATAATTTAATATTTATATATTGCGCAAATTAACATAGGGATATGATTAAATGCGCGTTACAATGTTTTGCACGGCAGTCCGGCGCTCAACCACTTGAGCTAACCAGGGGGCGGTATATTATAATAGTGTTTCATATTACAGTAAACTTGTAAATTAAGTCAACCTTGTAAGAGAGAATATCTGAAGCTCACTGCTTGGGTAAAACCGCGGTTTTGGTTAGATCTCGTTTCAATAACCGGCCCATAGAGTTTATGTTTCCCTAGGTCTGTACAATCATAGATCACTGAAGACATCAAAATGTGGTAAGAATATCAGTGACACAGTGGACCTCATTCCCAGGGTCTCATTTTCCCGCCCCCTTTCGCTCCAGGGGTGGGAAGATGAGAGACCCTGGGAACGATGTTGTGACACACTTGGCTGCACTACTTGTGCCACTCTGGTGCGTGCTTCATTTTGACATCATCTGTGATCTATTTCTTGACAGGTGCACTTGTAGCATGGAATCTATTGGTTAGGTTGATAAGGATTTTATAAGTCTGGAGCAATGTGACCTTAGCCGCGTTTACTCGGCCTCTCTCTCCTGAAAAGAAACTTATAGTTGATAGGCAGGTCGTTTTGTCACTTCGATCCTCTTTCTATGACTCTTTCTCGTCGGGCGTCTTCTTTATTGGTACCAAATCCTCTCTTCATCCTATTTACATGTACATTACAAGTGCCATTCTGTTCAGCGGCTGTGTCGTGCCACTTGAAAATTTCGTCCGCCCGGTGGAATGACTCCGAAAAAGTCAACTTTGCACCTGCGCCAAAAATTCCTTGGTTAGAAACTTGTCCCCGGAACTGTACCTGCACAGCGTCATGAAGAAAATGTTCAGTACATGACCCATTCCGCGTATCTGGATTTTAAATATCACATAAAGCAACATTTCGTCAGAGTTCATGGTCAGGGTGAGCCGCGGGCGTGGCCAAAACAGAAGAAAGCAGCTGTATTTCACCCTTTACATTAGTTCGCAAATTCTCCATACTATTCACTATATACATTGTAAGGAGAAATGAAATACCAGTCATTCCAAGTGGTCGAAGGGTTAAGGTTCGAGTAAAGGTACCAATAGTCTATTGCCCTTTTAATTTCAATGTGCGGAATCAGAGTTAATAGAGGGGAGTGTTTATCAGATCCGGCGAACCCTAACCCTTGGTGTCAGTTTGTGTTTATTTTTGTCCATTAGTATTGCCAGATCTTGTAACCTTCGGTTGCACATGGCAGTTAGTCCAGCTTTAACGAGTACTACGTCATACCTAGCAGTTTTTTTCTTTGAACACAATGCAAAAAGCATACTCTTGAATCAAAAACGCTCCAATCCCCTCCCCTCCCCTTCCCACCCCCCACACTCTGGCGACGAGTACTGACCGGTCCCTTTTGTTGGAGGCAACGACGTTGCCACCCTGAGCTGAGTACAGTTTCAGTATGTGAAACCAGCACGTGACCTACCCCGAAGGCGTGCCTGGAGCTCAGATGGTAGAGCATTTGGCTGCGAAAGTGAAGTGAAGTCAGACTTTTAACCGCAAAATTATGAGATCGAGTCAAGGAACCTGTGAACGTATTTTGTGATATCAGCTTAATTCAACAGATTATTTTCATGTTAAGTCTTCTTGCTCTATTGGAAAACCGTAAAAATGTCACAGTGAGCTTATCTCAATTATCCTCGGGCTTTCATATGAAGCATCTTTTGAACAAATTTGAATCTGAAGCGTTACCCCGCGCGATGAAGGATGAACAAATCTACCCGAAAACTTAAAAATAAGTTTTTCATGCCTCTGATATGTTAATATAAGTGTATCTCATGATGTTTTTCGTAAAAGAGGCTCGCAGTAACCGAAGACCAAACAAAAAGGACGCTTGGATCGGTTTCGCTCAACCCCGAGAAATTACCATTAGTAACTTGTTTACTCTACGCCTTGATCGCTAACTGGATGCGTCGGATAAAGTTATCTTAATTAAGTCTAAAATCAAGCGTTCATTAGATTATTTTCCAGAAAATGGTGTTTTTTTCACTCCTTATGCCTTAATTAGGTGTGAATTGAACAAATTTACCGCAGAAGCGTTAAGACCAGCCAATGCCCACATCTCGCTTGTAACTGAGTTTGCCGCTCGACAGATTTTCACGAGTCGGAAGGTTGTTGCAGAGTCTATCACTAAGAAAGAAGGACATTATCACCGGATGATGATATCAATTTTTATTTCAGTGATTTCGAGAGCACATTTTAGCAACTATAAGCCGAGAAAACATCTAAATAAACATCTCCAGGGGTTACCTTCGATCTATACCGCTACCTGGAGGATCTGTTACTGCCAGCTCTCGCGCATGTTTGGGTTTCACCTTACCGCACTACCGCTTTTTACACCACTGGCCGCTGATTAAAACAAATGTTTTAGTTCCCAGATTTTTCAGTAGATTATATCTTCTTCTTCTTCTTCCTGATAGTGTAAGGAAACTCCATTTTTTTTTTCTTTTTTCTTAAGTACCATGCTTTGAAAAATCTTCGTCTGTTTCTCCAAACATTAGAGGATTACCAGTCTAAACAAAATCTTTTGTATCTCCCGGTATCGATTAAATGAGACGAAATGTTCCTCCTTCCAGAGGCATTCCCTGAAATTTTCAGTTATGTACAAATAAAATTGAATTAGTCCCTTAATTGTGCACGATACACTTGGCGAAAACTGCAATTTTCACATAGCACAACGCAAAAGGTAGTTTCTAACAAACCGTATATGCGAACAAACAAATATTTTAAAAACAAGCTGTTGGAAAGAAAATAAAAAGGGACTTGGACGATCACTGAACGCTCAGTAGAATAGGGTCTATGATGTAAAGGAAAATTAAAGGAGATGATAGTCAAAGACATAAATGAAAGATATAAAGTACTACATATGTTCAATTGTAGGTCAGAGAGTGAGCTGACACCAACAAACACAGCTGCCGACTAACAAACAAAACAAGCCAAAAAAGGCAAGAAAATTGGTATGCGACAAACCTGAATGAAAACGACTGCTACAAAGAGGCAAATTATACATTTGCGCAGCATATTTCAAAACTCTCCGACCAGTAGTTCGCCTCTGTCTTTATAGACAGTACTAACTGAATATCAAGCCGATTAAAGGGGGTAAGTTTTAAAAGAAAATGTGGAAATTGGTCGCCGTACAGTTTTTTTACAGCTAACATTTCGAGAGTTAGCTCTTTGCCCTGGAGAATTCATATTTATAACCGTCCATGTTTATAAAATCAAATTGTCATAAATAGAAAGCTGTCTACTTACTTGCAATCCTTAAAGACTGTTTGCAGAACGCAATGCAAAAACTGCAAGGTATCGCTTATGCAACTCATTTGATTTAACCAGACCGCAATATCTTTACAGCAGAGTTAATGATATCAGACTAGGCCAGGGACGATGCTTTGAACTGTTTAAATCCATTAGATGATTTTAGCCAAAGGCTGCAGTACTTGCTCAAAGCACAAAAATATCTTCACGAAGACTCCAATTAGGAAATACTGGCAAGATTATTTTAACTCCAAAAAAAAAAGATGCAAACTCTGAAGGCTGGCTATACTCTTTATATTTGAAAATTAATGATATAGTTGTACGGTACAACAGCACCATTTTGCTTTTACCACAAGAGTGGGAGGAACGTGGTGATATCATTTAAGGACTGATTTTCCATTAAGTACTGTGGTCATGAAGTTGGGGCCTCACCACCGTGAATTTGAATTGTTTCAGCCAATTTCAATAGTAAGGTTCACCTAAAACCTTGTCTTTGCTTCAAATCACTAAGAGAGTTCCCCGGTACCCGTTAGGCTCCTTGTGCCGGACCTGAAACACCCTGAGGAAAAAGCGTAAGTGTCACGCCTGGCGTTTCAGCGGCCCTAACTTGCTTGGCATAAGTTTTAATTCCTTCGCCCGCCGTATATTGTCTATCTCTTGCAACTGGCTAATACGATGTCTCCCAACAACTGCTCAATGTATGATACGAACATATGATAACTAAGGCACGTTAGGTCTTGCAAACCTTACTGGTATCCCCCTGGCAACAGTGCACGTATCCATCAGCGTGTTCACTGAAGCAGTGGCGTTTCAATCGAACTTTCCTCCGCTATTTTCAACCATTTTGTTTTAAACTGAAAATGCACGAGATCTTCTCTTAGTTTCGGCCTTTGATGGTAAAGTGAAAACGCATGATTTCTTATTTTTAGGTTTTGTTTTGAGAAGGGATAGGAGAAAAGAAAGCCAAGTCTGAGGTAAAGTTTGACCTGCATGTTGGCAGCTTATTTAGCGCTTTGTACTCTAAAGCCAGGGTTGGAAAACAGGCTCTGTCTGGAGCCTTCTTCTTTGTATTCGTAAGTCATGTTTGAATTCTCATCATCCGACATTACCTGTAATTAATGATTATTCACCAAAGGCCTCGTAAATATTCTTGAAATTTGACTGAACAACTTAAGACATTTATTGTAGGCTACAAATATAGGAACCTTTTTGGAAATTTGAGTATTTGCATTAGTTGAGTATTTGCATTAGTTTTTCCGGTCGGTCTCTCTGTGTTTTGTCTTCGTAAGAAGAGTAAATATGGTCCTCAGCGGACTTAACTATAAATTTTACTCCCGAATCAAACAAGAAAAAAGACCTCGTCTGCCCACCTGTGGATGACAAGCGCCGTATGCAAATGTTTTAAAAACGATTTCAGAAAGTGACGAAGTTTGAAATCGATCTGGCTTCAGAATTTTCCGGGCGCTAGTACCACCAAGTTAAGATTGAAGCAAGGTTTTTTTTATATATAAAAGGAGCGGTAAGAAGGAACGATAAAAAAAAAAACGTTTCCTTGGCAGCTTTTCCACTATCATTTCATTTTCCAAATTCATTTGCATGCATTTTAGCACCTTCCGTTGACGTCGTCATAAACGGTGAAAAGAATTTTCAACAAAGGGGAACATTGAATGTTCTCGAGTAAATACATCCATAAAAAGTTGAGCTGATTCAGTGCAAGAACATTCATTACTGGAAGACAGCTGCTCTGGTTAGTGCTTAATTGCAATGTGTTAATTTGATGCAATTGGGAAGTTTTATTCGTCTTTCACTTAAGGCTTTAAAATTCCCCATTCTACAGCTGGCTATACTCTCTTCGGTAGCTTTGGCAAACATTGTTACCATGCCCTAAGCTAGACCCATCTCTTTCGATGCAGGTTTTTTTTTTTTTCCAATCTTTATGACATCGTTTATGTAGCACGTCAGGTCGAGGGAGAGGTTTCCCTTTATTTAAATCGAGATTGAAGTAAGATCTGGAAATATAGAATTTATTTCATGCTAGACATACTTTAAGTTTCATAAACTGTAATTTTATTAGTATCCTCTTCTAGGTTCAGGCGTATATTATCCTCGAGAACAGTCATCACTGGTTGTACATGGCATATCTAGAATAGTTTATCTTTACCGCACGTGCAGTGAAAAACCGTTTGGTTGACATGTTTAGTCAAAAGGTTGCTTGAGTGTCCCCCACTGATGCAAAATAAAATCATTTGGGTTTCATAACTTTCAGTTGTCATGTACAAAGTGTACTTCAAAACATTTCATGAAATTAGTCCTGAAAATTTGAATTTAGGCCACGATAGCGTTTCAATGTAACCTCATCAATTCCGGCTATGCTAGCAACTCGGCTACGAGGCAACAAGTTGGGGGGCAAGGTTCGCGCTATTTTACGGGAAACGTGAAAAGGCAAGTTGAAGTTTGCTGTTTCACTTAAACGCGGTGCTAAATCTCTCTATTCGTTTTTAGAATATCCTGTCAAATCAAATCAAATATTCAGTTTTAGTCAACATCGACTTAGCCCTTGAAAACTTGTCATAATATTTATGGGAGAAATTCGTTTTTGGTTACTCCTGGTGGTCAAAGTACCCAAAAGCGACGTATTCAGCACCGGGTGGTTGAGAAATTCCGCGCACGAGCGTGACAGTTGTTTGTGTTATTTTTATCCATTATTAACTCGTCAATTCATATTTGTACTACTTTTTTAGGAGATGATTATTATATTCTTTGACTTCAACCCATGGTTTCTGTGAATCTTGAAACGTATCCTTTTTAGTACTCTCTGTTTTACCTTTTCTTCTAAAATTGAATTCGGAAATTATTGGAGGTGAGAGCGGTCAGCGGTTGGTCGACCCTGCCCTTTACTGCAATTAAACTTAAACATTTCTTTTTTCCTCTTTCCCAACTCTACCCGCTCTATTGAGTACGGATCCACTTAGCTACGTTTCTTGTTTCGAGAGATGTGCCCAAATTTTTCAAAACGTTTAATCTTGTTTCATTAACGTCGAAGTAATTTGTATTGATCAAATGCGAAGTCATGCTTCCGAAGAAAAAACCCTAACATTTCTCATATATTAATCTGTAGACATGACAATGCTGTTCGTTATGAATGAAATCAAAGCAGTAAATATTTTAAAAGTTGGTTTCGTTAAGATCGTCGAAGGTAAACTGAGGGCCAAGGTCGCAACTTTTTTAGGTTTTCTGGTTATCGTTATTTTCAGTTCAGTTTAGTGGATTATCAACGTAGTGAACATTTGTGGTATACGGTATTTTACAGGACTATGAAGAACCCTATCACTTCATCTCCCTTTTAATAACTGTATTTGCTGGTTTCTCATTTAAGAATTGTTCTCTGTTTATGGAAATTCTGGCCGCGTTTTCGTTCTCTGTGAGTCTAATGCCTGTAACATTCACTACTCGGAAATAAAAAGCACAGGTTAAACGTGTGAAAACTAATTTTTGCAGGTGGTGAATTATTCGGTGGTAAACACCTGTAAGTTGGATGGCTTTGTTCGTTTGGTATTCAGCAATAGCTGACAGTTATTGCTATGAAGATAGATGCACTTTATTAGTGTAAATTAAGTGTTAGGAGGTAGTGTCCAGCGAAAGTTCTTTAGCTTTTTTATTTGGTTCTTTGATTTTTTAAACTTAATTCCATTTCAATTTCACGAATACGCAGAGGAAATTTAAAGACGTGGATGAACACGACAGATATTTGTTACCACTACGGAATGAAAGACTTTTTAGGGGCAGGATGAACGAGTTGTGGTTATCTGTGAGTTGCCTTGATTCCTGTCTTACTGCGAACTTAGTTTTTAAAAGGCGGCTTGACAATTGTTCTTTGAATTCAAATTAATGTTGCTCAATAAATTTCATTTTAAAAAGTCAAAGAAATAAAGAGGACAAATAACCTTCACTTTAATTGGCGAATATTGGGTACTCCAAAGTATTATTTTCTTGAAGTTTGAGAATTCTTCGTATAGTGACAAAAAGTAAAAAGCGTAAATATAAAAAGCCAAAGCACGAAGTCGAAGGCGGTGATCAAACATTTTGCTCCTTTTAGTTGTTTGTCCGCAACAAGTACGTCCGTGAGCTCTTGTGAAATCTTGACAAATCTTTCCTAATATCTTAATCAGTTACATTCATTGTAAAAAGGTTGATCTCTTGACGAGAAAAATCCGTGTGTCAGAAATGCCTTAAGCAATTTTTTTTCTACAAACAAATTGTTTTTACTTATCCTTCTGGATGACGTTCTCTTGGACTGAGATCACGAAAGGTCTTTTTACAAAGAGAAGAGCCAATGTTATTTGACTTTTTTATGCCAAAAATTTAATACTCCAAGTCTGCTAATTTTGTTTTAAATTCTATCGAAATACTTTCGGAATACACAGGTGCTGCCAGCAACTGAAAAATTGTCGGCTTGACGATTAAATTAGTCCCGTGTTCAGGTGATTTATTTACTCTGTAGAGTACAAGCAATCTCTGGCAATTTACGAACAAGTAGTAATTAAATAGCAGTGAAAATTACTTCTTCGACCCAAAAGTTCATTAATCTGGTTAATCTATGTGACAAGAGATGTGGAAAGGAAGAGAGTGATGTCAATTAGCATGTAATCGCGGAGTAAACCACTCTTAAGAAAGCAATATGCATTTCTTAGCATAAGAAGTGGTTCAAGGAACAATTTATTTCGAATATTCGTGAAAGACTATGAATGTACTTTACATAAAAGAAGATATAAAGCTATTGAATCCCTTTGGAACCTTTCGTGATGGTGAAAACATATAGTAGATTTTAACGCGAAGTAAGCTATTTCCGTGGTAATCTGCACGAATCATCTGGGCTCTCGCATTTGACAGCAGAAATATATTGAATGTACGTGGATGGCAATTAACCTAATAGAAATTCAAGTTCCTCTTTTTCAAGTCCATGAAAATCTTGAGTCAATACACGTAATTTTCTTTCAGATTTTTTTTTTTAACTTCTTTTCTTTTTTTAAGTGATCGTTTATCTTCTCAGACATTGGTTTTAAAATGGCACAAAACAGCTTTTTTTCATTAATGTTTTATATTTCCTACCCTGTGGATCGGACAGGATCTTTACAAAAATGGGATTATTCATATAAAAATTCTTCTTTCGAAGTTCATGAATATTTACGGCCTGAATTTGGGTTTCCGCCAACATTCAAGCCAACATTTATCATACCGACATCCTTTGCTGCGAAGCTTTGGTTTATTGCTATGGCAAAGCTTTTCTTTTCGCCTTTAATTTTTGTAACCGTTCACTCAGTCCAAGTAAAGTTTCCTCTTGAAGCGATTTTGATCCTACCGGTTTTAGTCCTTGCGGGAAAACCCCTCACAGAAACTCCATTAAGTCCACCATCCTCCATCTTGATCCGGTCCGTCTCAGTCCAATCCTTGATTTACAAGGCCCTAATTAAATTTTGATCATTTGCATTCGAAATCGCTTAAAATGTTGAGCAATTCGGGTCGTGCTCAGTAATAGTCATAACAGTAAGATAAGTCACTACTACCAATTCAACAAGCCTCACCTTTCAAGACCACTGGAAGATTAGGGGAAAATTCAGTGACAACACCGCCCAGGAAACATATTTCCAAAAGGTATTTCGATTACTTTACTATTTAAGCTATATCCAGTTGGTGATTTCATGTGACAACGGAATCAGTTCATGTGACGAAATTGTTTTTGTGAGTACGAATTTTTAGCTTTCAGTGTTTAACGTACACAAAAGGATTAGCTTCCATTTTCAACATTTAAGATATTTCCTTAAATCCTTTTAATGCATTTTCTGAACTGGATTGAATTCAATAAAAAAAGGGAAGGTATAAAAGAATAAGAACATTTGGGCCAAAACAAGGGGATTTTATCGGTAGACGAAAGCGACTGGACACTGCAGCGAGTAATCTATTTAATAATTTAGAATATTTTTTTCTTTTGGCTAAATTAGAAATAAAATATCGTTTTTACCAAATCGCTTCCCGTAAAGTTTGACACCGAGCATTTTAACATGGATGACCGAAAGATAACGCTTCGTATTATGTGAGAACGAATTCTCGAGGTGTTAAATTTACACCTTACTGATATCATGCATATGTATTAATGCGTTGAAAACCTGAATCTAATAATGAAGCAAAAAGAGATAAAAAAAAAGATTTGAATTGTTGAAGAAAAGACTTTACTCTCCCCACAGAGCTTATTCAAATCTTAACTTTTCCGGAAACCTTGAAATATCACACGTAGATCTTAAGTAGTTAACATAACACTGTTTTCCGTTTAATCACTTTACATCAAATATTTTGTCTTGCTTTCGGAAGCTTTGTTTGACTTTAGATTGTAAAGGTTTAAAGAGATCGGATAAATACCACGGAATTCATGATCACTTTAGAGTGCATATATGGCTGCACATCCTTAGACAAGGAGTGCGGAAACCACACAAAAATAAATATCGTAATTTGTATCCTGCTAATTATTACAATGTCCTCCTACGAAGAAATAAAGCATACAAATTAAAAATCATAAATTTCTAAAATAATTCATTGAGTAACAAACATTTGATTTATACTTTTAACTTTGAAGAGGATTTTTCAAGCTAACTATCGCTGCTTTCAATCGCGTTTTCCATAATTTTCTTTTCTGCTTTACAGTTCAGAACTTTAAGTTCTCAGGTTCGTTGAGAAAACAGTTTAACCACGTCGTATTGGATTAATGGCCACACCGCGCAGATCGCTGTTGTTTTGCAAATTCTACAAAAAGCCGTTTGTTTTGAAAACATTTCTTGGTCTTCATTTTCTTCCGCTTCCCTCTTCGTCATGAAAGGATGTATTTTGTTTTATCAGACAGGAAACATATCTGTCCTTTCTTCAATCATAAACATGTATTACAGAACGGAACGGTTTAAATCATAGAGATGATTGTTTTCTTTTACTTAGAACACAGCTATGAAATGAACCTTCTGTTAAAGGAAGACAGCGTGACGCCAAATTAGAACGTTTCGACCCTAAGGTTTCGCTTTCTCGCGCACAAGGTTTCCAAGTTATGATACGATTTACTAATAAAAATACACCGATGTCATACTTTTTATAGAAAAAATGAAAAGAAGAAAAATTCTTCCGTGCATCATCTTGGATTATCATTCAGAGAAACCACAAACTTGGACCGTACTTTTAGCTAAAGCCATTAGTTTTGATGCACTTTAAGATTAAGTTTCATTTGTCTTGCCACAGAAGCAATGAGGTTTTATGGGATTTCTGGGCTTCGACGAAATGAACGGTGTAAACCACAAGGGGCCACTTACCGAGACAATTCAAAGATACTTCCTATTGTCGACTTAGCTTTATTGGCTGAGAGTGCTTTCGATTTAAAAGTAATTCATGGCCATGATTTATTTCTTTCTCTTCCTTCTTCTCCTCCTTTTTCTGTCTTTATTTTTTTAAAGCTTACTTTTTGGATTTTGAGACATCTTTTACGCGAACTTCACTAAAGAATAAGGACTTATCCATCTTAAGCCTAGCCTGGAGACAATTTTCTCTTTTAAAGCAATTAAAATTGCTCAGTTGGAAGCGAAAAAAGTGGTTTCAAGTTTTTTTTTTTTGTTATATATCATCGTCAGCTTATTTGTCGCTATTTCATCTTCCTGTTGTTTCCAATGTTTACATTAATAGAAATTTCGTGTGAACATAGAGAGAGAAGGGATTATCATTATGAACTATTCTTGGCTACGTATGCAAGTTAAGGTGATTGGAAAGTCTGAATCGCTTTTTGATTAGTTTGCATTTACGTTTGTTTCTGGATTTCGATCGAGAGCCTTTTGACTTTAAAAGAAATGGCAAACGAGACTATGTATAATCACGAACCTTGATCACGCAAACATACAAAAGAGGAAAAGAATAAGGGGGTAATATAAACAAAAAAAACCGTGCAACTTAACAATACAGCAGCCGTGAAATAAATTTGGTGCTTAGGACGAGGCAAGAGATATGT